AAAAAAAAAAAAAAAAAGGTAGTGGTTTAAAAGCAGCTCCCAGGAAGAACTTGCTTTTCCCTAGAACAGGAGTCAGCTGACTTCAAATCCAGGCTGCCCCCCGCTTTTGTAAATAAAGTTGTATTGGAACAGTTAGACGTGTTGATTTACAGACAGTCTCTGACGGCGTTTGTGAAGTGGCAACTGAATTGAGTAATCATGACAGAGACTGTGTGACCCACAAAGCCTAAAATATTTACTATCTGGTCGTTTACAGAGTGTTTGCCAGTCCGTGGTCCAGAGTCCAAAGCTCTTCCTCCTTCCACGTGCACAAAGTGACGTGAGACTGTTCTGTGTGCTGACAGACACTTGGCCTAATATATTAGGATGGGGGCGTCCCCATCCAAATCTGTTCCAAAAAACCCTCGGCAGCACCTGTCAGGCAAGTGAGGGCATTTGGTTGTCACTGTGCGCTTCTTCCCAGGAACTCAATGAAGGGGAAACAAATCTCAATTTTGGGGAAATTGCACAGGGGAAAAAGGGGAGGGATTAAGTTTCAACACCCCATTGCGACATTCAGCAGGGTTGAAAGTGACAACAGTAAGGGTTTCTCTTTTTGGAAATGTGAGGAGGGTATTTCCGTTTCTCCGAGTGGGACGGGGGCAGCAGCCTGGCTTGGGTGAGTGACTATTTCTTTATAAGAAGCAACTCTGGGCCACAATGGCAGTCCAGTGCCTTGCTGCAGCCACAGGATGGACATCAGCAGGGGCCTCTGCGGTCACCTCATCTCTCTCCTCCTCTTCCTGTTCCATTCAGAGACAGCCTGCCGCCCCTATGGGAAAAGACGCTGCAAGATGCAAGCCTTCAGGTAAGGCTACCCCAAGGAGGTGGGGTGAGGTGCAGGAAAATAGAGTCTACATCATAGCCTTTTGGGGCTGCCAGGCCACACAGGGCCTGAGAACTGCATTTGGGCTAGAAAGGGATATCCACTATTTAAGAAAGAGTCTGCTATGTGCAAAGGCTTCAGGGCTTATATTTCAAAATATCCCTGATGTGATTGGCAGCTCAATGAGTGGAAGACGCATGCCAGGGAGGAAGGCAGAGACTGCAGAGTGTGCTGAGAGAAGCAGAGAGGGGCACTGTGGGCAGCATGCAACCCAGAGGCCTGGCCTGACTATTAGCAACTCGTGACTGAGTTGTCACAGTGGAGGATCCCTACTGTCCCAAGATCTTAGTTTCCCCATCCGTGACATGCAGTCCTTTATAACTTCCAGTGTGCCCTACAGGGTGGCTCTGAAGAGGAAATGTGTTGATAATAGTGTGACAGTATTCTGTGAATGGTAAAGTGCCTGAAAACTACTGTGATATTTAAAATCAAATCTGGGGCTTTATGAGATGTCACCATCACTGCTGTAAAAATGATAGTCTGTGATGCTGAGAGGAATGAGTGTGCCATCTGTGCACACCCTCTCTCCTGTGACACCCTGGCAGCGGAGCCCTGTTGCAGTGACTCCCCTTGACTGCCATGTTTTTCTGGCCTGAAAGTTGTATTGCAGGTCAGGACTCTGTGTGAGTGTCAAGTTCCTTCCTTCCTAGACATGGGGTCTGTCTGCTTTACATGGTTTGCTTCAACTGCCTCTGATCAGCAAGGAGCTCCAGAAGATGCCCCCAAGGCCCTCGGCCGGCAAAGTACAATCCCTTCAGATAGAGACTAATCTAGAAACTTGATCAACACAAAAGAGCCAAGCCTTACCCATGCAAAGCACCTCTCTTGCCCACCATCCTCACTGGCTTCATGGGGGTCACCTGATGAGATTGGTATAGATAGCCACATTTCATAGGTGAGGAGATGAGACAGGTCCCAGGTCACCTGGCCAGGGCTCTGTCTACCACATCTTACAGCTGTGAGCCCTGCTTTCAACCAGGGGGGTCTTTTACCAAGAAGAAAGGATCATGAGCCACAACCAGGTCACCTATGAGCTAGGAGTGGAAGCTGACTTTTTCCTGGGGACAGCTGTGGTACGGCTGTTCTCGGGGGGCCCAGGGAAGGTCACTGGCTGATGGAAGGAAGGCTCTCAGGACGGACCATCCCAGTCCAAGGCTGGGGGTGAGTCAGCTGCAAGGCGCTCTGTCCATTGAAACTTCTCATTCTGTGTTGTGGTAGCCATGTATCAGGAGATTGGTTAAATGAATGAAAATAAAAGAAAATGAAAATTCAGATCCTTCATTTCACTACCCACATTTCAAGAGGGCAATAGCCACAGGTGGCTAGTGGCTACCTTCCCAAACAGTTCAGATATAAAACATTTCTGCATCCCAGAAAGCTCTGTTGGATGGTGCTGCTCTATAGCATGCTTTGCTGGAACAGAAGGTGCCTGGCCTGGGAATCTGAGTGAGGAGCAAGGTGAGAAGAGGAACAGAATGTAGGCTTCACATTCACCAGCTGTGTGAGTTAGGCCTGTCTCTTCGCCTTTGGTAGCCTCAGTCTTCTCACCCGTGCATTGGGTACACTGAAATACCACATCCCTGGAAGAGGTGGCTGCTGATTCTATGAGCTCTGGGGGATGTGAGAAGGTGCCCAGTACAGGGTTGGGCACATAGTGGCTGTCCACTTCAGCTGGGTCCTTCTGCTTTTCAGGATCTGGGATATAAATCAGAAGACCTTCTACCTGAGGAACAACCAACTGGTTGCTGGATATTTGCAAGGAGCAAATACTAAGTTAGAAGGTGAGTGAATGACAGGAAATCCAGTGAGGGGTGGGCCCTCAGGTCACTTTGCCACTGGGGTGTGTGGCATCACCGTCTGCCCCCACAAATCTTAGGGGTGATGTTCTAATCCCTGCTGGATCTTTGTACCTAAGTTTGAAGCTGAGGTGGCCTGTCCTATGAGGGCAGCCTTAAGAGGAAGGGAGGGCAGTGTCTAGGTCAGGAGCCACCACCGATATATAGGCACAGTGTCCCAGGGCCACAGCCAGGAGGGACAGGGCCCAGAAAGAAAGACTGACCATTCCTTTCCCCCTGTGCCTATTACGATTCCCATGCTCCTGTGCTCTTCAAACCCTAAGGCCAGTCCAAATTAACATACCACATATAAGGCTGGGCTGTGTCCCTTATTCCTGGACTTCATACTCAGTTATAGTCTGGCCCATGCTCTCAATAGGCTGGATGAACTTGGCCAAGCTTTATCCACTCTGTTCTGCAGTTTTCCCTTTAGTAAAGTGAGGCTGTTGGATGATGAGATGTGAGATTCTCTCTGCACTGGTCTTCTAGGAGTTTTCACTACCCTGTTTGGTATAGTGGGGAGGCCTTATGTCCATCTCTCCAGCCTTCCCATTCCTTTGCTCTCCCAGAGCTACCTTTCCTCCTTTCTGGTGGTTCCCTAACGGGAGCTCAGAAGCACAGGGAGGCTGAACTTTTATTGCTCCATGAGGGTAGAGACCCAAGAGGGAAAGGTGGTTCAAAGAGCTTCCGTGGAGCCCCGTTAGGACCCTGTGTGCTGTTTTTCCTGCCCCTTGGCTGCACATCTGTTGTCCTGGGGTGCAGGGATCCTGGGGAAAGTGAGGGAGGGAGAGAAGAACCTCTGGAGCAGAACCTAAAAGGGCAGCCTGTTAGGAGTAACTAGACCACATGCTTGCTCTGATTTTCTGTTTGGATGCAGACCAGGAAGGGGTCGAGTTGGGGTTTTAGTTGAGGAGAGCAGGAAAAACACCCAGAGTCTCTTCACTATCTCTACCTTTTCTCTCTCTGTTCTGCTCTTCTTCTGACCCTCCCTTCTGCTCTTCTGCAGAAAAGCTAGATGTGGTGTCCATCAAGCCTCACACCATGTTCTTGGGGATCCAGAGGGGCAAGCTGTGCCTGTCCTGTGTCAGGGTTGGTGAAAAGACCAGACTCCAGTTGGAGGTAAGGACCAGTATTGGATATCAAATCATCCCCCAAATCCAGGGCCTTAAAACAACCCTGATTTGTTCTTATCATTCTGTGGATTAACCAGGCAGTTCTGGTCCATATGGAGGAACATGCTGGGGGTGCTCCCACAGTTGTGTTCAGCAGGGCGCCTGGCTGGTGCTGGGGTGGCCAGGATGGTTTCTCACTCTCCAGGCTCTCTTTCCACATGGTCCCTCGCCCTTCCGTAGCCAGCTAGAGCTTCCTTATAGCATGAGGTCCCGCTTCTGAGAGGGACTATTCCAAAAGACAAGCCTCGACGTGCAGATGCTTTTTAAATTTCTGTTTGCATCATGTCAGTCATGTGGCCAAGCCCAGACTCACGTGGAAGGGACTTCCTGAGGGTGTGCACACTGGGCAGTGTGGTCAGTGGGCCCCATTCCCCTAGCAACCTACCATATGGCCTGGATCTCTGTGTGCTACTCTCTTGCTCAAGGGCCCCTCGTACACTTGGCCCTGCCCTCTTCTAGCAAAGCCAACCCTCAGGACCTCCCCTCCACTCCTTGCCTACTCGCAGTCAGGGTCCCTTTGAGGGCCCTGCATGCCATGATCCCATCAATGATCCCAGTAGATGGGCTGCCCAGCCCCAGTCTTATTGGACATGACCTTACCCCAATGTACATGGTCATGACCATGGCACTGTCATGTCCCTGTACCAGTGTGGAGCTAGGGTGGCCACAATATTATGTATAACCTGCTGAATGAGCTGTGAGAATTTCCCCCCAGCTTGGCCACCCTACTCCTTGAACACTCAGACCTGACAGAGCACCAGCCTCTGCTGATGGTACCATGTGTTTGCTATACTTACTGGTCTGTGGCTATAATGCCGGATTGCCCCGAATCAAGGTGTGACAATAGGTCACCACTTTGTGTCAAAGCTGTCCTAAGAAACCTGGGACCCAGCATCTCCTGCCGGTGGTCTCCAGGCCCATGTTCCCCCCTGCATGTACTTTTCATGGTGGGGGGCAGAGAGCCAGGCAGCACGGCACTTCCCAGGTCTCAGCTCTCACCTCCCATCTCTTGACCTCCAGGCAGTTAACATCACCGAACTGAGTGAGAGCAGACAGCAGGACAAGCGCTTCACCTTCATCCGCTCAGACAGTGGCCCCACCACCACCTTTGAGTCCGCTGCCTGCCCAGGCTGGTTCCTCTGCACAGCCCTGGAAGCTGACCAGCCTGTCACCTTCACCAACACTCCTGAAGAGTCCGCCATGGTCACCAAGTTCTACTTCCAGCCGGACTAGTAGCACTGCTCAAGCCTGCCTTTCCTATTCCCGGCATATCGTGACTCCAGGGACTACCTTTCCTTCTGGTCCTGGGGCTCCAGGCCCAGGGGCACTGAGGAGCGGCCTTGGCAGGGTGGCCCTCAGAAGGGGGCACAAGAGCCCTGGTAACAGGACTCTGCTTCCAGCCTCTCAACTGACCCAGCCTCTATGCTGCCTCTAGAATGATCTTTGTAAGGAGCAAATCAGATCATACCAGTCACTTTCCCAAAGCCTTTCCACGTCACATCTGCATTCAGGATAAAATCCAGGCCACCTATTTAGCCTGGACTTCTGCCCTGCCGCACGCATCTCCAGACCCATTAGATCACGCGCTGACCCTCCACCAAGAGGCCCCACACCCTGACTTACACTGATGCCAGTCCATGGGGAAGTTCTTAAGGGTTTATGGGAAATGGAAATTAAAGATTTCATGATTTACAAATTAAACCAGCTTTATTCAGTATAAAGGAGAGTCCCTCATTTGGAGACTATGTTCTTTCTGGAAGGAGTTAGGATATTCCTGAATTTGCAGAATGATGGTGAAAGTAGATGGTAGCTTTTCGATTCTTTTCCCAATATTCCAACCTGTACAAATTAAAACTTAGTGTACTATGTCGGCCCCCTAACTTGTTCCCTTTTTGAGACATTCCTGTAGTCTGGGCCCCTCTGCCCTGCTCTGAGCTCCATCTCCACTCCAGCTCTTCTCCAGCTGCCTGTAGCACTTTGCCTCCCATGGAACATTCCCGAGCTTCCCAGGGACTTCTTAAGCAGGCTTCTGGGAGTCCTTTCCTACTCTGTCAGGAGGGATGAATGGCTTCCTGACCATGGTAGCACTGCTGACCCTTTGAGACTTGAATGAGAGACAGCTGTGCCTCTGTCTGTCTCCTGCACCAGGCTGTGGGCCCAGAGGACAGGGCATCTGGCTTGTATGTGTCTCAGGTCCCTGCAGAACCCCTAGCAGGCACTCAATGAATGTGTGTTGTACGTATTGGGTGCAAAATTCCCCTCTTCCTGTGACTTCAGCTCTGTTTTACAATTAAACCTTGAAAACACCTACTTTATTGATTATGTCCTTGGCCTTGCCAAGCTTAGAATGCTGAGGAAACAGAGAAGCCAACAGGTATTTTTTACCCCAGGGGCTGGGGGCCAGCTGCCTCTCCTCTGAAAGTCTCTTTACTCCTTGGGGCTCACGCTCCCTGCCTGGAAGGTGTGGAGCAGCATTGTCCACAATAGTCTCCACTGGAAACAACCCAAATGCCCACAGAGGAACGAGTATATAAATTGTGTGTTTGCACATAATGCAATGGTCGACAGTAAGGAAAATGAATGAACCGCAGTCAGCTGTACCCAGCAAAACAGATGACTCTTACAAATGTAATGTGGGAACAAGAATCAGAAAGGCACACATGGAGGGCGATTCCATTTCTATTAAGTTCCAAATAGGCAACAGTGAGCTGTTGTGTGGAGGAACATGGAGTTATGTGGTGCAGAGAAAATCAAGGACATGGTCTTCCTGAAAGCTGGGTGGGGGCTGGCTCCAGGAAGGCGGAAGGAAAGACAGGAGCAGCTGAGGACTTTTAGAATCCAGCCAGAATCCAGTTTCCTGGCATGATGTGGGTAGGCAGTTTTCTGCTGGGCTAACCATTTCTGGGGACCTTGAAGAGAGAGGTCCAAGGAGCTCTGTTTGGAAAACCCCCATCCAAGTCAACACTCATCTTGAAAAAATAAGGAGCAGGTCCCAAGGAGGGAGGTGACTTGGCCAAAATCACATAATAGGTCCATATTTTATTTCATAATTTCAAAATGTCTAAAAACCAAAAAGACTTGGCCCTTTTGAGGTGTGAGGAAAGACGTATCTATGGGATTGTGAGATCACTGGGTGGTATTGAATTTGGCCCCATAAGGTGGGAGTGCAAGACCAAAAGAGCAGTGTCTTATCAAATACACCTCGGCCAACAGTGTCAAGTGAGCAAGGAATGGGTTCCTTCCTCCTGCCAGAATCTGCTGGGCTGTGGACTTAGCCTTTGGAGTCTAAGAGTCAGGTCCCAGCTGGGCCATGGGCTTGCTGTGTGCTTAATGGTAAGAGCAGCAGCTAACTTGCATGAGGTACTGAGTACATCCTCCCATCACATTGCAGAAGGTGAAGCCTGAGGCTCAGACCTTTGATGTATATGTGATCAAGCAGCAGCTTATGGGTTAGTAACAGACAAGGCAGCACACAGTCTGGAGTCACATTTTGGCTCTCCAGTGTGCCATGTGTGCTCCTGGGTAAGCTAGTTAAAATCTCAAAAGCTTCCATTTCCTCATCTCTAAGTACAGAGGGCTGAGTTATCATATTTGATCTTTGCAATAGCTCTCTGTGGTAGATGGTATATTATTATTACCATTTCTAGTCCTGGAAGAGTCAGTGCTCAAAGGAATCTGCTTTAAAGCCTTGTTGCTTTAAGTGTGGTCCAGGGATCATTGGCATCAGCAGCATTTGGGAACTAAAATGCAGACACCCAGGCCTCACACCAGACTTACTGCCCTACAATCTTCATCTTCACCAGGTCTCCAGGACATCAGGTGCAGGTTAATGTTTAGGAAGGAATGCTGCTTCTGCTTTAAAGTGCAGCACTCATGCAGTGCGCGAGCTATGGCGTATTTATTAAAGGGATCCTCATATTATAAAGCCAGACATGTCCTTACTCTCCGTCTCGCAACTCAATGACAACACTGCAAACTCCCCTCTTAACACTCCCTTATTTGGCTTGAAGGGTGCAGTAAAATATTCCTACGATAAAAGGCCTTAAGCTTTCATCATCCTACTGGAATGTCAGCTCAACCCATGCAGGGATTTTCATCTGTTCTGTTCTAATATGTATCCCAATGTTTGGCATCTACTCGATGCTCAATAAATATTTGGTGAATAAATGAATTAGCCACTGACATATCAATAGGGGTTAACTTTTTTAGATTGGTGGCAAATTTGAGAAGACAGAGGACTCAGAGCAGGGAAGTTTTGAAGGAGGCCTAGAAAAAGGGAAGAGTCCTGTGCGTAAAGTCTTCCAGGGATTTGAGGGGGTAGCAAGGAAAAGATATGACCACAAGGTGGCGGTAGCACACTCAAGCTTTATGGGTGAAGCTTTGCCCAGTGGACACTCGAATAGGTCCCTTAGGGTAAAGGTCTGTCTACAGGGTAGAACATGGAGTTGGGGTACTAGTCAGAAAGGGAGGAGGGCAAGGGGACTTCCAAGGGAAGAAGGGAATTGGAAAGGGGCTTTCATGTCCAGGTATGTCACCCAGCAGCACAGAGGGGAGAGTCTCTGGGTCAGGGAGCTCCAAAGGGCAGCAATATCTTGAGGTCTTTATGGATGGGGGCTTATCCTTGGCTAGCAGATGCTGGATACAGTTTTACTGGGTATGAAAAGCAAGCAGGGTCTAAATGACTAAAATTCTGCTTATTTGGGCTACATTTTAAAAGAATAGAGATATAGACATTGGAGTTTCTCAGTGGGCAGGGTTTTGAGCTGAGGGGTCTGCTCTGAGCCTGCAGTGGAGAAATCATCAAATGAAAGGCTGGCATACAGAGCTGTCTTTGTCTCACTTACACCACACAGGGCAGGAAGACCAGGCTGGGGAGGTGTACAGGTGAGGCTTTTGTACAATCAGGAGGCAGCAGGAGGATGACCAGGAGGTGGGAAGGGCACAGTTAGGAGAGAAAAGCATAGACAAGGAAGATGGGGAATGTGGTCTTTTTGTCACTTCTAGGCCTGATGAACTATATAACACTTGGAATCGCAGACCAACTATTCAGAAATTCAAAACTGAGTTCAAGTCTTACAGGCTTTCATAGGCTAGTCAGGTTTTCCCTATAAACTAGCTGGAGACTTGGCCAAGCACCTCCCTCCTTAGGCCTTTTCTTTCTCATAAAAAGAAGGGACACAACTGCATCTGCCTTCTCATTATGCTGACCTGCAGGGCCAGAGCTTTTTAACATAAATGCCTGGCCTCCCCCAACCCAGAGATTCTGCTTCCCTTGGTGGGGGTTGGCCTCGGGGTGGCACAAGGACATGAGCATGCCAGGGCCGTGAGACCTTTTGGACTCCTGAAATTTCTAAAATCCTTAAGCCACAGTGGCAGAGCTCAACATGCTAGGTATTACATCCAGTTATCTCAGAAATGTCTTGGGAGATAATGCAATCTATCTGTTGGATCCTTAGCCTTAAACCTGAGAAAGATTAAAAAGAAGGAAGATTTAAAAAGATTAAAAAGACGTGTGCGGTGGCTTATGCCTGTAATCCTTGCACTCTGGGAGGCTGAGGTGGGAGGATCCCTTGAGATCAGAAGGTCAAGACCAGCCTGAGCAAGAGAGAGACCCCATCTTTACTAAAAATAGAAAAAAATAGCCAGGCATTATGGTGGGCACCTGTAGTCTCAACTAGTGGGGAGGCTGAGGCAGGAGATCGCTTGAATTGTGCATCTCAAAAGAAAGGAAGAAGGAAAAAGGAAAATAAATCTCTGAGACTCCTTTATGCAGAGACAAGAACATAGTGTAAAAATGTCCACCAGAGGTCAGCATTTTCTCTCCACTTTCATCTCTGCTCTAGAAAGAATCTTTACACGGAACCTCTATGAGGTGACCACCCAAGGGACTGTAACAAACTGGTCAATATACAGAGATGGTCAACATAAGGAACTAGACCTACTGTACTGATACGTACATGTGGTGCACGTCCAGTCTATGAAAGTTAGGTCAAGTTAAAGAGGTGGTTAATGTACAGTGGTCAACTAAGTTCACGTGGTCAACTAAATTCATGCTCTCTGATTGGTAAAGGTTAGTTTTTAAAGACTTTGTAAGAAAAAGCTGGGTTTCTTTGCCCCAAGGAAAGTTTACTTTTATTGATCTATCAATCGAGCTGTAGTATAGCTGTCGTATTAGCTATATTTACCTCATGATGTGCAAGCGGGACCTGACCCCTGATGAGTGGGCAGTAAATGTTGTCTATTATCAATGTCTAGTCTTGGGGTGGGGTGCAGTGGCTCACACCTGCAATCCTAGCACTCTGGGAGGCTGAGACGGGTGGATAGCTTGGGCTCAGAAGTTCAAGACCAGCCAAAGTAAGAGTGAGACCCTATCTCTAAATATAGCTGGGTGTTGTGACGGATGCCTGTAGTTTTAGCTAGTTGGGAGGCTGAGGCAAGAGGGTCACTGGAGCCCAAGAGTTTGAGGTTGTTGTGAGCTATGATTCCACGGCACTCTACTGAGGGTGACAAAGTGAAACTCCATCTCAAAAAACAAACAAACAAAAAATCAATGTCTATTCTCCAAGGGGTAAGGCTCAGGAAATTCTGAGAGTCTTCTGTATCTGCTTTAAAGTCCACCTTCTGGGGTCCTGTTTCCTGCTGTGGACCTCTTACCTGGAAGATTACTGTGTGGAGTTAACCCCACTCACCCCAAGGAACGCACACCTACCATGCCAGAACT